GTGCTTGCTGGAAGAGCAGTGAAAAGTTCTTTTATTCCAGTGAGCTTTTTTGTTTTATGATGTTACTGTTTGCAGGGTGAAAGTTAGTTGTCAGCACTTGCATTTGTAAATCTCTTTTTAAGGGCTGATTACTCTGGACTGAAAGTTGGCAGGCAAGATCTCAGCCCTAGAGCATTGTTTGGGGTTTTGCATGTTTTTAAATAACAGATCTATCTGATTTGATTGAGAGAGCACATGTTGCTACTCATACTCTGGTAACTCTAGACAATGAAACAGGTTGCATAAAAGCACCTTTTGGATGTGAATTATAAAAATTAGAGATGACTGCTAATAAAAGCGGGAATATCAGGGGCTACACTTCAGGGAGGTTTTGGGAGGTTGGCAGGGGCAGCAGTGGTTTTGTTTGCTCTGTAACAATCAAGTAGATGTCTTTTCCAAGCTGTTTGCAAGGTTGTGGTGCATGTGGATGCAGTGCGTGTATAAATACCTTCAGACAGTTGAACATTAACTCTGCCAGTACTATAAGATACCTAAACCTGCACTAAAATGCAGTGTAAAGGTTAGCCTGATACTGGCACCACACTTACACACACATGTGGCTTTTGGATGAGAGCAGTCCCAGCTCTGCTTGGCTTGGCACTCAGACAAGAGTGATCATGTGGTTGTGTGCACTTATCTGTACAGTCATCCTGTGAGCCATTGCTGGTTTGTATCTGGTGTCTTCTCAAATTATGGAATTCTTATAACAAGACACTTTTGAAAATATTTACTAGTAAAGAATAATGCTGCCAACTTTAAAAAAAACCAAAACCTCAAAACCCCACACAAACAAAAAACCAACAACAAAAAAACCTCACAAAACCCACAACGCAAACCCCACATCTTTTTATTTGTGAAGGTGGTTGTGGATGTTGCAGACTGAAACCACTAGGCTGAAATACCTGTGTTGCTCAGCCAGGTGGTCTCAGTCTCACCTGAGAATGTTCTGGTAACTCCTCAGATTAACCACTACTGACCAGGTGTCCACAGGGATGGACAGTTCTGTATGAAGGAAGGCCGACTGCCCCCATTGCCCTCAAACTGAGGAGAAAACAACTGTATTAAGGTGCTCTTCCCCTTCCTGTTGCAATTACCAGTCTAGTAGATTGAGCACTGTATTACAGTTTTGGGGACAGCAAGAACTTCATCATTGAATGTTACGCAATTTCTGAAGAAACATGTTTTTACCATGTATTTTAACCTTCTATGTTTTGCTTACTTACAAAGCAGGTTCAAACTGCTTTTGATAAGTCTCAATAAAATCTATGCAGTTCCTCTTGGATTAGGTAGTTGTCAAAATAAGTATTTGAATGTCTCTAGATATGTCGAGAGTAGACTTACTCTCACGTTGCTGAACTTGACTCATTACTCTGCAATGACCAAATGGCAAACCAGCAGGAAGCATAATGATTTATTAAGTGCCTTTACAGACTTGAAATTATTACAAATGTATAAAAGTATAAAATATATAATTTACAAAATTATAACTGGTTGCTTCTAAATCAGTTCTAAATGCAGTCCATTCTGTAGACTGTGTGTAGACATAATTTGTTGAAGACAGATATTTTTGTGAAACTGCTAACTATAGAGTAGAAATACTGTTTAACAGCTTATTTAAGAGATTGTGTGTCTCTGAAGGTTTTTCTTGTGGATTTTTCTTGTTTTAATAACTTGCATTAATGGGCCCGTGGGAACTTAATGAAGTTCGGCAAAGCCCAGCACAAGGTCCTGCACCTGGGTTGGGGCAACTTCCAGTATCACCACAGGCTGGGGGATGAAGGGATTGAGAGCAGCCCTGCTGAGAAGGACTGGGGGTGCTGAGGGGTGAGAGGCTGGACATGACTCAGCAGCGTGCACTGGTAGCGCAGAGAGTTGCTGTATCTTGGGCTGCATGCCCAACAGTGTGGCCAGCAGGTCCAGGGAGGGGATTCTGCCCCTCTGCTCCACTCTGGTGAGATCCCACCTGGAGTGCTGCTTCCGGCTCTGGGATCCTTAGCCCAGGAAGGACATAGACCTTGAGATGAGTCCAGAGGAGGCCACGAAGATGGTTAGAGGGATTGAACGTCTTTCCTATGAGGAAAGGCTGAGAGCATTGGAGTTGTTCAGCTTGGAAAGAGAAGGTTCCAGGGAGAGCTCACTGCGGCCTTCTGGTACTTGAATGGGGTTTTTTACCAGGGCATGTAGTGGTAGGACAAGGGGTAATGGTTTTAAACTGAAGGAGGGTTGATTCAGATTAGATATAAGGAAGAGGGTTTTTGCACTGAGGATTGCCCAGAGAGGTGGTGGTTGCCTCATCCCTGGAAACATTCAAATTCAGGTTGGATGGGGCTCTGAGGAACAATCTAGTTGAAGATGTCTCTGCTCATTGCAGAGGAATTGAACTAGATGAACTTTAGAAGGTCCCTTCCAATTAAAAAACTATTTTGTGATTCTACGAAAGAAAAAATTGCCGTCTGATTCTGATAGCTCGGTGTTCTGCTGGAGGTAGTGCTATCTCTATCCCTAACGGGTTTACCAACTTGCATTTTTCTCTTGAATGTCTCTTGCTTATTGCAGCAACATGTATTTATGCAAAGATATGGTTTATCAGTCAGCAGTTCAGTGTATCTGTTAAAGTCATGGGCAAGTTAACTCTTCGGTCGATGATAATTTTTATTGCTGCATTGAAATGCCCCATTTAACTTGCTCACTAATTTGGCTATTAGACTAGCATCAAAAGAGGATAAACTCTTCCAAACCATCAATCCTTATCTGTAGTTTCTAGAACTACTGGCTATCGATTGTGGTTTGTGTAAATAAGCTTTTATATGAAGATATATATCAATACATGAAAAGCATGCTAAAACGTATCCTGTGAAGAGCCTTTAATATTCCATGATTTTTATTGTTTCTCTCTCTGAAGTAACACTGCCTTTTTCCACAAACACTGTATTCTCTAACATGACAGTCATGGGAGTCTGTAGTCATGTATGTTTTGTTCTTTAGGAGTCTGGTTAGTGGCAACTCTACAGTAGAAAAATTCATCGCTTTAACTTTCCAGAACAGCCCTGCACGTGGAGTCATTTTGAAGTACATCACAACTGATGGGATTTTGCAGCAGAGCAGTTGACATCCTGGGGGCTTGTAGCAGTGTGATAGTACTAAGTGAAGAAAATTGCAAAGGAAGCTCTTCCTGTGTGGGGGATCTTTCCATGTGGCTTATCCATTTGCAGAAAGGCAATAGCTGATTGTTGTTAAAATCACGGGAGTTGGAAGGCAGGCTGTATCTTCTTCAAACAAATTATAATATCTCCCTTGTTTTGAGAGCCGTTTTGATCCTAAATGATCAAAATTGAACTTAAGTACATAGGTTTGACATTGTAATTATTAAAAATAATTTGTTTACAAGGTGGGTGGGTTTAGCGTCGTGTGTATCACAACAAATCTGTGTATCTAATGATAATATAATTATTAGTTTGAGTAGTGCAAACAAAGTTACATAGAGCTTCAATCTACACCTGGCCTGTGGTAAGCAACTTGAATGAGTTCCTGACTTTCTGCTATGTAAACTGTGGGTATATTTATGTGTGTGTTACGCTGAGGAATAGCATAATTTTTTTTAATTTCACTTTTGTGTGGTTTTTTGTCTGTACCATTTCTTCCTTATTTAAGTAGTTCCTATTCCAAGCTGAGAGTTAGGAAAAGAAACTTCTCGCAATGTAACAGTGACACAGTACATGTGTTTCTTTTGAAACGTATTTTTCATGCTGACTTTACATCAATAGCATCAAGTGATAAGCAACTGTTCATCTGAGCTGAATGGTTCATCCTCTTGGGGATGTCAGTATATTTGTTTCTTCAGTTATATGTACAAAATATCTTTTCCATAATCCCATAATACAGGTGCTTGAATCAGTTCATACGTGAATGTCATAATTTTACTTGAAAATTTTGGAATATATTTAGTCAGTTGTATGAAAGGCTTTTGCTTTTGTCCATTTCAAAATATCGTATAAAGGACATTCCATGGAAGGCCATAATACCATTGACTGAAAAAAATACTTCTTAACGCCGGTTTTTGGAGTCAAGGTAGCCTAAAAGGAACTTATGTTGTTAAAGAATGGAACAATACTATTAACTTCCATGTGCTGCAAATCTGTAATTTTTTTTTTTATTTTTTTTTAAGGAGCTTGTGAGGAGTTTGGTGTCACCAACATGAAGGCAATAAATTTCTCTCATGCATTGTTAGAGATGCAGTACTGGAATTTCCATGTGAATAAGAAACTAAAAAGGCATATCATGAAAAAAAATAATTTAAAAAAAGCCTGATTTTTACACCCCTGTATTACTTTGAGACTTCACGCTTTAAATTAGCTTTTGTTGTTTTTTAAATACCTTTTTTTAAAAATAACAGCATTAAAGAGTTGCATCAAATTTCAAAGCAAAGTCACTAGACTTTCAACTTTACTCAGATTTTTACTTGTCTAATCAAATAAAATAACATTTTGGGATGACAGAGCAGAACAACTGGTTGAGTGTTACTAATTGAGCAGAACTGTTGTAACATGCTTCTTAAATGTTGCAAAGATAAAGTGACCATCAGAGTAGTTATAGAAGACAAAGGTTGGTTTGTGACTAAATGCTTCTTAGTGAGTGGAGTCTGTCAGGTGGTATGAAGAAGTCACGGTTTGAAATCCAGTCTCGATAATTAAGGTGAGAATCAAGAGAAATTCCCAGTGGAATTTCCCTGCCCAGTGCTGTAGCCAGTGTTCATCTGCATTCCCAAGGCAGCCAGTGACTGGGAGCTGAGTGTATCCTCATCTTCTGCTGTAATATTTTCTCTGGATGCGTAATCCTGACCATATTGTGTGGAAGTTCTTTGGACCTTCAGTCTGAATCAGCATAGTGTGTCTGGAATGGCTGTGGGTTCTTGGGAATTTCAACAACCACTTACAGAATCTTTTGTCTTCCTATTTCCGCAGCTTACAAAGGTGACCAGTAAAGTTCTCTCTGAGCAGCCAAAAAGCAGACAGCTCATGACTTCTGATCAGGACACTAAAGTTGTGGCTGAACCGCAGGTGCAGCAAGTACAAGAAGTTAAGGACGGTTCTCATCTAGTAAGTATTGTAATTACATGTTCCCCTGGTATAAGTGTTGTATGAAACATTTTTTCTTTTACTATGCCTTAATCAAAATTGTAGGTCAGAACGTTTTAGAATACAGTTGGCTGACAGACAGCATTGCAGCATTAACCAGCTAGAACAGAGCTGTTGGAAGTGCCTAATTCTCCAAATCAAGTAGGAGTTTCAGCAGTGCCTAATTCTCCAAATCAAGTAGGAGTTTCAGCTTCACTTTCCTTCAGCTCTATGGGTATTTAAATAAACTGCAAATTACGGCAGTTTGCACTCATTTAAGGTACAGGGCTTTTCAGGCTATGCAAGAATTGTATTACCAGTCTTTAGGCTCATGCTCACACATTAACGTGAGGAAAATGCAGGAAATGCACTTGATGTGTATGTGTAATTGAAAAATGTACAAACCCATACAAATAGGAAATAGCAATCTGTAACAGGAATTTTGCTCAGTCAGTTCTACCAAATGGCCCGCGCTGCTGTTTCCGATCCAGGAAGTTGCTGTATGGTTTTGGCAGATCATACAGTGGATTGTACTGTGTATATATAGGTTGTAGTAAATGTTACATCCCTCTTCAAGAAGATCGAGTACTTGATTTGTATTCAAATATGTTTATATTTGCATCTTTGTTGGGAGGAATGTTTCCTCTTGGGACATTGAAGAGTTTGGTTTCAGTGTATGTTCTGCCAGGCACTTCCCTTGTGCTGTGCTGAGCAGCAGATTCTGCCTGCTTCGAATTACCTTGCAGCAAGCACTAAGGAGTATTTTGAAAAACACTCTAAACTTGTGCTTTTCTTTGCTAAACAAGCTGGTGGACTTTTGGCTTGTTCCTCTCCCCATTTTTTTTTTTTCATTCTGAGTTCCCTTCTGCTCTGTTTGACATTTCTCAGATGTGAATTTTGACTATTTCACACTGGAGGAAAAAAATTCAACCTGATTTTGTGCCATACTTCTGAAAATTAGCTTTTGTGATTTGCTTTTTTTCCCCCCTGTACTCAGGCCATTAATTCCAAGAAACCAGTGTGTAAGCTTGAATCAGAGGTGCTTGCAGATTTGCTTCAAAAGCTTGGAACTGTCAGTGCATTTCAACAGGTGCATTAGTATTAAAGGCAATCTGATTAGTCTTCATGTGGGTGCTAACTCTTTTAATTTGACATACTAGATTTTATGAAACTACATGGAAACTTGGATCTAAATCTTAATTTCTGTTCTTTCCTGCTTATTTGGAGAAATTTCAGAAGACCTTACTGTTCTCTTCCTTAGTAGGGAAGGCTGATGTCAATTTAGATATCTTGGAATGTATCCACAGTGCTATAGTGGTACATTTCAAATAACTACTTCTTTTGTGATTAAAGCTTTTCCTTGGATGAATATCTGGAAAAAATGAGACCTGTAGCTTATTAAGTTTTTTTAGGTTGTACTAGTATCACACTCTTCTATGCACAGCATCAGAAGGTCATTCTGTTGTATGAGCATCGTTACCAATATATACTGTTAAAAGTGGTGTTTTTAAAAAGGTCTCTTCAGCAATGCTATTATCTTTACTTGAGTTAGTTTTGCCAGTACTTCAGGACTCACTTGCAAGTTTTGGGCACAAAACTGTAGTTGGAGGAAAAACTTCACAGAGTGCAAGAAGAAGTTAGCAAACTAAAATCATTAAGACACTTTCATCTTTTAATAGATGGTAGGCAGGAGAAAAACTTCTGGAATCCCGACTCTTATTTCCTTTAGCAAGTACCTGCTTCAGGTGAAGTGAAATTCACCTGCTGTTTCTTGTGTCTTAATTATTTTGAGATCACAGGGCTAGACTGCATAAAGGCATGGATGCATGTTTGTGACAATCCCTACTTCAATGTGTATTTGATATGGGGCTGTACTGCGGTGGTACCTACAGAGATTTCTAGGAGTCTTTTTTTTTTTTTTTATAATACACTTTAAGAAATGTACTGAAATGTTCTCTAGCTGTTTTGACTATGCTGCTCTACTGGGATCTCTTGATCTCTGGTCCGAATGCTTTTGTGGCAGTTCACGACAAAAGTTGTAGAATTTCTGTGGGAAATTTTGATGCACCTCTGGAGATCCTGAAAAAATAACTAGTATCCTAGTCTTTATCTGAAGTGGTTATATAAAGTATTTTTTGTTTTATCTGTTAATAATAAATAAATTTTTCTAATTATGACTTTTTTCATTCTGTGTGGCTGGAGCAAAACTGAACACATGTTCTAGTGTGAGTGATGCTGAACAGGCACTCAGTAGTGACTAAATTACAGTTTTGATGTTGTAAAGTTTTTGATTAAAGATCCCAAGTTTTGATGAATGGAACCCTTTCAGAAAGCACTTACTGGTGTAGCTGATGTTAAAGATACAGAGGTCGCTTGTTTACTAATAATTTTCAAAGTTTTAATCTTATAGTGAGGGAGGCAAAGTCTTTTCTTTTGCCTTGAAGTAGCTATAAAACTATATGCTGTTTAGTGCATAATGTAGGTCGATTGCAAGCCTAGTATGGTTCATTTCTAACAATAAATCTTGAGTTTGGCTGATTTTAGTAGTATTTAACAGCAGAATTTTGATGGTTTTGCACACAAGTAATTTGAAAGAAATTGGCAACTTGAGGATCCTCATAGATTTATCAGTAGAAACTTAGACTTACACATTGGAGGTAGATAATTTAGAGGATACTAGCGGATTCATACCTTTGATAAATTTGAGAGTTAAATATGCTAGTTTTTTCAACTTCTATAACCCAAAGGTAGGCTTTGTCACTTCAGGTGAGGTCTGTCAAGGGATTCTTTGTATCCTGATTGAGAGGTACTCTTTCAGAGAAAGTGCTTGTGAGGCTGGACCCAGGAAGGTCAGCGTTTAAGAAGCATTTCGCTCTGTTTTAATTCACTTCTGTGTTTCCTTTTTGATAATAACACTTTCCTGCTAGAAATTAGAGGTTACTTTGAGGGAAGAGGCCAAGACCCAATGCCATGGTGGAGGTAGCTTGTATGACCTGTCTCTGCCAGACAGGACTTAACTAACCTTTGATGCTAAAGGCACACATAGTCTTTTTCCTTGCTTATTGATCCTAAACTCTTCCTCTGCCATGTTCACATTTTTCCAAGTACCAAAGAATTTTTATTCCTTGACTGGCTGAATTGAAGACCTGATCTGGAAGTTTGAAAATAACTCTAGGTGGGATTCTTGTCCTCAAGTGACAACAGGTTCTGCAAATGTTGGTGTGTTCCAGTGGAGGATATTACAGTGAGGCCATTTGAACTTGCTGCCTGGTTGCAATATCAGCATCACCTATTCTTTCCCTAGTTGAATAATTATCAGGTGCTGCCATGGGTTTCTGTTAGTGGGAATTCAAATCAGTGTGGTACACTGGTTTATGTCAACACTTACAGGTACTGTAAATTCAAGTTCAATCATATTGTTTGTTCTAAGCACAAGAAAAATAACTAGAAATTAACGAAAGATGGCGCTTAATTGTACTTCCCAAAAATGTTTTTCTTAGGAGATAGTATAAAAGTATGTCTCAGGCTTAGAGCTGCTGGGTTGTGGTGTTCAAAAATCCTTTTGCAACCCATTCAAGGACAAGCCTCAGAATAAAAAGGAACTGAGGAAATTAGATTTACTAATTTAGTATAGGAGCATGTGTAACAGTTCAGTGAAAATTCACTATAACATATAATCCTCAAATCACTTGGCAATACACAGTATTACATGCAGTATCTGCCAATTAAGAGTTAAGTAGCAGTTTCTATAACCAGTAGGTGGTATTTAATAATTCAAGAGATCATGAATAGCTTTAAACAAGAAATGGGACGATTAGACGTTAAACTGGACATATATGGTGTCAGCATCCTGAAGGATCAATAGAGGTCCGTGTTTGCCCTTTCTCTCATGGTATTGTAGATTGAGGCCATAAGAAAAGTGCTGAATGGTTTTGCACCTGTAGATAATGTCTAATGCCTATATTTCATTGTTTTAATGTACGAAACACATATTTAAACTCTTAGCAATCCATTAACCCTGATATATATTGGAGGGAAAGTTAAGCAATTTGACCAGCTGTTTCCAAAAGCCTGCAGTAGTGACATTTTGACATCTATTGTGATGCTGCTCTTCTCTGGTCCCTTAACTGGTGCTGGGCATGACATCAAGTATGACCTAGGAGTATAGCATTATCACTGTTTCTTCAGGACTTGTTGCAATTGCATGAATTTATTATGGAAAAAGAATAAAGGAAGTTAGATGTCAGAAAGTTCTAAGGACTGATTTAACTTGTGCTATTGTAACTTAAGGTTGTATTTTAAAACTTAGGCCTATAAGACTGTAAGGATAAATCCTTATTCCTTTGCAAAGAATAGGTACATGGAGAAATTAAAGTAGATAGGTAGGTATACTCCTGTTAATAAACATGTTGGCTTCTTGCCTTCTGCATAGGTGTGTGCAGGACATAGGACTAAATACCTATTAAAAAAAAGGTAATTGTTCAGGTTATGAAAGTGGTGCTTCAGAACACTTTTTGTTTCATGGGGAGGGAAAAGCTGTTTAGGCTTTGAGTAGAGGAGAAATATACCAGAGCTAAAATATGCATGTATAAAGGGTAAAAAAGCCAACAAAATAAACAAAACCTACTCCCCAGCTGAGCTGCACTCTGAAGTGGCTGAGCACAAGCTCTATTAAGTGCTTTTCAAGTCAGGTGGCAGTCTATAGCATAGCCAGAAGGTTTTTAAGATTTAAGGAGTCTTGGAAGTTAAACAAGCAACCTTGAATGATGTAGTGTAACAAGTGTGGCATTTTCTGTTTAAATTCATCTTGTCTTTTTTTTTTTTTGTCTTATTTTTTTTCTTTTTCTGTAAAGTGATCCCACAATAAACAGCATTGAGGAATGTGACTTCGTGAATGTGTACTATAGGTCCTTAAAAATAGAAATTATCCCTGGAACTCTTAGATAAAACCGAAGAAACAAGAACAAAATGTGCCTTTGCAC